AAAAATTAGAAGAAATAAAACAATAGGACCACACATTAAAGAATTCAAACTAAAATGTCCAGATTCTTAAACAGATAACACTATTTAAAACACGGACTAAGATATACAGGACTGGACACGACAAGGTTGGAGGGTGTGGGGGGTTGACTACGAAATGTTTTACAACAGGCAGTGCTCGGGGGGATATTTTCCTTTTAGCATTACTAGCGCCGTCCTAGTGGATACTTATGGAACTAGAACACATCATACAAATTTCTAGTTCCATAAGTATCCACTAAGACGGCGCTAGTAATGCTAAAAGGAAAATATCCCCCCGAACTCCGCCTGTTGTAAAACATTTCGTAACCACAATATTCATCTCGTGTCCAGTCCTGTATATCTTAGTCCGTGATTTAAAATAATTAGTGCAGGTTATCAATGTTCACATCTAAACAAAATATAAAACTAGAGTTAAATAACTAAAAAAAAAAAATAAATTTTAAAATAAATAAATTCGTAGTAGGCGCGCGGTAAACTAGTGTTGCTCGAATGCGTGAAAATCGCAAAATAGCGAACTTCATTGGGCCATAACTTCAAAACTAAGTCCGTGCGCCAAATTTAGACTTCACCATCGTTTTCAGCGTGCTTAACTACATTAGTTCCAAAAAAAAAATTGCAAAAAAAAGGGTGTCCGGTAAAGTAGAAATATACCTCAATTTGGACTTTATAAATCGTGGAAGTCGTTTCTCGAGCACCTCGAGTCCTCGAGTCGAGGTATTTGTATTCTATCTATAATATTTTATAATTCTTTGGTTGTAACATATTGTAGCAACCTCAACCATAGATTAAACATACAGACTACATTTTAATCTATGCCTCAACCACGGACTAAGATATACGTATATCCTATATACGTATAGATATAAGTATATCCGTGGCCTCAACAAACAAATAATAACAATAATAATAATCACGGACTAAGATATACAGGACTGGACACGAGATGAATATTGTGGTTACGAAATGTTTTACAACAGGCGGAGTTCGGGGGGATATTTTCCTTTTAGCATTACTAGCGCCGTCTTAGTGGATACTTATGGAACTAGAAATTTGTATGATGTGTTCTAGTTCCATAAGTATCCACTAGGACGGCGCTAGTAATGCTAAAAGGAAAATATCCCCCCGAACACTGCCTGTTGTAAAACATTTCGTAGTCAACCCCCCCACACCCTCCAACCTTGTCGTGTCCAGTCCTGTATATCTTAGTCCGTGATAATAATATTGTTATCTACTTTTTATAAGTGATAACCAAGTTATCAACTTGTGTGGTTCTAGACCTCTTGTGCATGCCGGTAAAAATGTTGTTGCGTTTACAAAATACAATCTAATTTGTTCGGTTGTCGAAGTTTCTGTCTTTTAGTTATTCATTTCAATTTCAATAGTTTCACTAATATAAATTTCAAAAACCTTCGAAATGGATTTGAAATGTGTATCGAATATAAAATGTGACCAAGGAGCTATACGCTCTGTCAGGTTTAATGGTAAGGTATATTATTTATTAATTATTGAAACTATGTACTTGATTTTGAGTAGCTGACTGTCGTTTTGTATTTAGTGGATGGTGAATATTGCCTTACTTGTGGTAGTGACAAGAAAATTAAACTCTGGAATCCATTCAAGGAATTATGTTTGAAAACCTACGCTGGCCATGGAGACTGTGTAATGGATGCATGTGGTTCATGTGATAGCAGGTGTGTAAATTTATATATAATCTCAATAAATATGTTTGTGCTCATTTACAAAACCAAATACATATTATAAACTTTTTTTCCCAAGTGAATTGGCGTCATGTGGAGCTGACAAATCAGTTGTATTATGGGATGTGTCAGATGGAAGAGTAAAACGCAGATTACGGCAGCATGCTGCTGCTGTGAATTGTGTTGAATATAATGAAGATTCTTCAGTTGTGGTGTCTGGATCAAATGACAACACTGTTTGTTGTTGGGATACTAGAAGTCGTAACAATAGCCCAATACAAGTAATATATTTATAATCATTTGTCTTTATCTCATTATTTTTTGCTGTTAGTTGTATGTTATTTTTTAAACTATTAACTTTTTTATTACACATTTACACCTGAAGTAGGTAACTAAATAAATAGCTTATTATTTTAATCTAATAAAAAAAATTGATAAAGTTGTTTTATAAATCTGTTATTTTATTTAGGTATAATTTTAAAAATTACATCAAAAACCAACATAATAAGAATTATCATTAATTTCAACAAATCTTTTTCCAATCTCCACCAGTTATAAGAAAATATTCATTGCATTTGTACATGAAATAAAAATAGTACAAATTAAAAATATATAATGCATTTTTCTCAGTAATTGAATAGAAATTTAGAAAATAAAATAAACAAAATATTTGAAATTGTTAAAAAGTCCATATTTTAATTATTGTATAAGTGTATTATTATTATTTGTTTATATACAATTAAAGGTTTTGAAAGAAGCTAAAGACAGTATTACTAAAGTTTTAGTGATAGGCCATCAAATTCTAACGGGTTCCTTAGATTGTTTTTTAAGAACTTACGACATAAGAATGGGAAATTTGGATGCTGATTTTATTGGAAGTAAGTAATTAATATTATCTTTATAATTTCTATTAAAAACTGTAACCATGCATATTAAATTGTCATTATGCTTGTAGAGCCAATATCATGTATCAGTTCAACACAAGACAATATGTGCACTTTAGTTAGCTGTACAGACAGTACATTAAAGTTAATGGACAGACAAAAAGGAGAATTATTGAATGAGTATGACATTTTGTTCTAGATTTTATTTGTTCCTAGCAACATTTTCACATGATATTATAAGTATGCATTTTAATTTATGTTTAACAGGTACACAGGTCATACAGTCGGTGATTATTTTATTGAAAACTGTGTATTTCATAACGATAGCATAATAATAAGTGGATCAACTTGTGGACATCTTTGGTGTTGGGATTTTGTCAGTGCAAAAGTTTTAGAGAAGTTAAAACCTAATGACAATGTTTCATACACACAGTCCATCAATTCGATTAGTACACACCCCAGTAAAAAAGTACTAGTAGCATCATGTGGGCCTTGTATTAGTCTTTGGTCTGAATAATTATTGTTCAATTCATATGTAATTGAAACACGGTTCAGAGTATTCAAAAAGTCGATCATTTGTGCTCTTCCGACCAGTAATATCTTTTGGTGTATCGCCTGTACCGTTTGGTAGTTTTACGTTACACTGAATACCAGGTTGAGATAATAATAGTTCAATAAGACTATGTGAATCAGCCAACTCTGCTACTAAATGTAGAGGTGTTATTCCTATAAAAATATAATGTAATAAAAAATACATGTGTATAAATTCATTTTTTGATATTTGTAATTAAACATTTACCACCATTAGTTAAAGCATTTATGTCAGTCCCGGCTTCTATTAATTTTTCAGCACATTCCACATTATTCCATTTACAAGCTGAATGCAATGGTGTCCATTGATCAGCTGTCCGAGCATTTGGATTTGCGTGATTTTCTAATAAAAACTATATGTCTAAGTAAATAAAGTGAGTTTAATAAATTTAATAGATTTATCTTAAGTATACCTCAACAATTGATAGATGATTACTATAACATGCCCTGTGTAAAGCTGTATAACCATCTCTATCATGGATATGAACCAAGTGAGAATGTTTTGACACCAAAGATTTCACCAAATCCAATTCACCTTGTTCAGCGGCCCATAAAATTTCCCTTTCTGGGCTAGCTAATTATATATAAACGAAAATAATTATATTATAGCATAAAAATAATAATAATAAATTTAAAAAATATATTAACTTATTTGATTTGAAACATAATATGATTTATTTTTAATACTGCTTTCGGGGCACTAAATAAGTTTTAATTCATATTGTATAATTTACATTTCATTGACATCACAATTAAGTAATAAGTGAACAATGAACATTTACAAAAGAAAAATTAACCATCTATTGTAATTAAGAATTCTACAAGTTTTAATACCTATGTATACACCTACCATTTTTCAAATTAATATACAGACTTAAGACTCAACATCAAACATTATTGTTAATATTCTTACCATGGGGGTCTGGATCTTCATCAACATCGTATATATCTTGTTCCCAAGCACTTGGTGTATGCGGTATAGTTTCAAAATTGTCAGTTAACAGACTTTGTTCTTCTTCAAAACGATCATTTTCCTCATCAGACATTTTAGGACTAAAATTGAAACAAGAGTACTTTTTTTTATAAATTGAGAACTTTTAAAGTACCTATACAACACAAGTTTAAAGATTTAATTTTTATAACTTACACAAAGTTAAAAGTGGTAGTACTTTGAAAAAAAACAAAATGTTCAAGTTATTGAATATTGACTGCTGGTTCGGAATAATTTTGGGTAAAATTATCTTCAATAATATTGCCGTTCAGTGGTTGTAAGCAAATAACAATGTTTAATCTATGTTGTAAGTAAATTTTATTATCTTATTTCATGGTTATTATCAATGTAATCTCTTTGAAGCCGTTAAGTTTAATTTGGTGGTCGAATCCGATAAGGCACAGAATAGATTTCATATTCTGTGGATAAGGTAAGTCCTAAAATATAAGGTTATGTTCTTATTTCAAATTAAAAGTAGATAACTCACTAACTCAGAATTCAGATACTCAATTTAATAATCTCGGGAGTTAAAATGTACAGATTTTAATTTTTTTACTTTGTAATACCATTATTACCATAACCATTACAATGTTATTTATATATAAGACACGATCTGAATGATAATTTTTACTTTTTACTGTTTTTAGTAACAATTTATTTTGTTCCTGATATAATTAAATTTTTGTAACGTGAACCAGTCAGGACCTAAGTTATTGTTAGAATTAATTTTACTACCAACTATTTTTAGTACATTTTAAAGAAAACAATTTTGAACAGCAAAAAAATCAAATATTAGTACATAATGAGTGATTCTTCAAATAACTCGGAATCTAGAACAAGGAAAAGGATTCAAGAGGCTAAGAATAAAGCTAGACCAGGTATTGAGAATTAACTATAATTATAAACTATAATTATGTACATATTGTTATTATTTGGAAAATGTATTAGCCTTATGATAAACAGTTTCAGTTTAACACTTCACTGCTATTTTATTTAAACAAATTTATAATTTCATGAAATTATCAATTAGGTATGTATAACATGATAAAACATTGGTATCTAATACAAATTGGTCATTTCAACTACAATAGGTAGTAATTATTAATTTAAAATTTATTTAGTTTGAATTAGTTCTCTAAAATAACTACCTATTATTTAATTATTTTTACTTGTTGGTGAATAAACTTATCACTTTTTCGTCTTGAAATAATAATAATAATATTGTAGTTGTTTTTTATTAACCAATAATTATGATCAAAGTTTAAAACTTTAAAGTGAACCTATTGTATTTGTTTAAATTCAAAACTACTCCTTTGTGTAATCATCCAAAATTTTAAGACGGCAAAAGAAAAATGCTGTTTATCAAATCAATAGGAACATTGATAGTTTAATCAAAGTCTTAGATTAACAATGATATTAACGATTTGCAATGTATTTTTTTTAGAACTGAGTGATAAATATGCATGGCATGCCCATGGTTATGCTGACAATTTTAAACCTTTTACAAAAGTACATGATAATGTAGATCGCATTGATGTGGAAATTGTGAGTCCCGAAGTATTTGTGGAAAAATACGAGCGACCCTATAAACCAGTTGTGATAAGAGGACTACAAAATAATTGGAGAGCTTCTTATAAATGGACAATAGAAGTATTTTATAATATTGGATTTGTTTTTAGTGCAATAGTTTTAATTTTTTTTTTTTTTGTTTCAATTAGAGGATAGGAAAAAAATACCGTAACCAAAGATTTAAATGCGGAGAAGACAATCAAGGATATAGTGTTAAGATGAAAATGAAATATTTTGTTCATTACATGAATAATAATAAGGATGATAGCCCTTTGTATATATTTGATAGTAGTTATGGTGATGTAAGTTCTATTTATGTTTTCAATTAATATAACTATAAAGTAAATTTGATAGTTCAAGGAAAATACACTTATTATAATATTGTGTTCAGAAAGAAAATAATAAAAACCAGCCTTGTCCTTACCAACAGATACTAATATACTATACTCTATTCAGAATAAGCTTGTCCACTTTTGCACTTTCAACGGAGCCGACAGAAGGGTTCAACTGTGATTGGTCGTCAGTGGTGGACTGCTGCCGTTACCCATTGCTGACTTTTGCCAGGGGGGTCAGACCCTTCCAGCAGCTCAATTAAAAGGACGAGGGTAAAGCTTATTCTGAATAGAGGATACCACTTTAGGTTCTTTATAATTATGTGCAAAATAGTTATCACAATTGTCTTCTGTTAAAAGACTTTAAAATAAACATCTAAACAATCTAATATTCTAGCAAAATTAATAAAAAGTATAAAAATCAACCGCCTGACAATTATTTTAACCGAGACACATTGAATTTGTTAATTTGTCATTTATCTATCATTATTCAATAAAACGTAATATTTGTATGTACATTTTGTATACAGCATCATCGAAGAAAAAAATTGTTGGATGATTATGACATACCCTTATACTTTCAAGATGACTTATTTAAATATGCAGGTGAAAAGAAAAGGCCTCCATATAGATGGTTTGTCATGGGTCCTTCTAGATCAGGGACCGGAATTCACATAGATCCATTAGGTACCAGTGCCTGGAATTCATTAATTACTGGACACAAAAGGTAAAGTTTGTAGTAATATTTAATTTTTTATGATTAGCATGTTAACTATGGAATGTTCAATTAGATGGTGTCTGTTTCCTACTCATACTCCTAAAGAACTGCTCAAAGTCACTTCGGCTGAAGGTGGTAAACAACGTGATGAAGCTATCACTTGGTTTAAAATCATCTATCCTCGTACTCAGTTGCCAACTTGGCCTAAGGATTGCTCACCAGTTAGTTTTAATTTTAAAATTTGAAAAATTGATGTTTCTTAATATTAATATCTACATCTAACAATAACAATAAAAAATATTTTTTTGTTGTATCAAAACAATTTTTTTTTAATTTTAGATAGAGATTCTTCAAGGCCCTGGAGAAACTGTGTATGTACCTGGTGGATGGTGGCACGTAGTACTCAACTTGGATACTACTATTGCAGTAACTCAAAACTTTTGTAGCCGTACTAATTTTCCTGTAGTATGGCACAAAACAGTTAGAGGTCGACCAAAATTATCTCGTAAGTGGTATAAAGTGTTGAAAAACAAAGAACCTGATTTAGCAATAGTAGCAGACTCTGTTGACTTAAAGAACAATACGGGTCTTGCATCGGATAGTTCGAGTTGTTCAAGTAGTTCTAGTAGTTCAAGCAGTTCTAGTGATGGAAATTCTAGTGAAGAAGATAGTGGACAAGAATCTCTGCATGCACATAAAAAAAGGTACCTTGTCAATTATTCTATTTAAATTTTTACTGCCAATAAATTGTTTAACTGTAAGATGCAGTACATTTTATACAATCAATTTTCATAAAAATTCCAAAAACCTGCAGTTCAATTATTTTATAGTTATTAATCTTTTTATGGAAGTAAAAAAAAAAAAAATATTTATTTTATGATAGATGTCAGCAGTGGCACCCAACCTGGCACACCAAAGGCACATGGGTCAGTTTTTTAAAGGGCGCCATAAATTATATTGAAATACAAAGGCCCAAAAAAACTTTTTTTAACACTTTCAATACCATTTTTTCCTTTAAAAAAACATTTATTCAAATTTCTGATATTTTTTTTACTACTTAAGGAGTGTCCCGCAGCCATAAAACTTCTATTGCTCTATTATTAAAAGGTTTATACTAAAGGTAGTCCTTAAATAGTACAAAAAATTTCAACTATTTAAAAAATTTTAAGTGTATTTAAAAATTCCAAAAATCAGAATTTGAATATAATATGTATAATAATAATAGTGATAATAGCATAATAATAGTGTGAGGATGCTTAAAAATCACTCTGTATTATATTAACCTAAAGCCTGATGAGTGGAACAATGATTTATTTGTTAAATATTAAACTATGAAACTGTTGAAAAATTTGAAACTACAAAATACTAAGGTACTTTTCGGTTATCCCTACTACCGTGAGTCTCAATTCTGTTATCTCGACCACCTCGCCGACGCCGATTTAGATAAAATTGTTAATAAATCATAAACATGGACATAATTAATATAAAAATACCTCACCTATAGAGTCCATACTTTAATCATACATACCCGACTTTTTTTTATCATAATTACTTTTTATGAGCGTTTGAATATATAATTTTTACAATATTGTATATTATTTAGTAGTAATTTATCAAATTTAACAAGACCTTAAGCCACCCCCCCCCCACCTCCTACAAAAGTTATGGGGTATTTACCCCTGTAGCCGTACGTGTTCAGCGCCTCTTGCTAGGCCTAGTCTATAACGCACCGTCTCCGTTCAGAATCGTTTTTCATATCCAATGATTTATCATTGAATTCAAATATAACACATCCGCATTATAATGACATACTCTACAACTACTGTACATCAGAGCGGTACCCACTTGTCCACCTTTTATTTTTATAAATATATATATTTAATATCTTGATGATATTATGAAAATTTTTAATTTGAGGTTTTTGATGATTTGATGTTATATAATATTATGATGATAACTCTCCACTACCGTGATAATTTATGTGATAACTGATAATAATTAATAAACATTATACTTCTAAGGCTATACTAATATTATACATTATTATATTTTTTTTTTTTTTTTGAATTCGCATTATTATAAAAGGCAATTCATGTGTATTATGTATTAAGAATACAGAACTATCGAGGTAGTAAGTACTATAGTAGTCGAGTTTATTGAGTAGCCGTGGTAGTCGCGGCATCGAGCGGTAGAAGGGATAACAGAAAAGTACCAATACTAATTACAAAATATTTATCATTAATTAGGTACTCAGAAATTAAATTACGAAAATCAAAATTATATTTCTATAGAATTTTAAATTTGAAGACAAAATTCATAAAGGATAAGCATAATATAATTTAGTAAACTTCCAAAAGTATGCAATATTTCCATGATTGCTGAATCCAACAGCAGGGCCGCTTCAGAGTCAACCAGCGACGCCCTCGTGGCCTATTTGAGCCCATTGTTCTTAAGAACAGAGTTTAGTTAGATTTTAGCTGCAGTCGCATAATTAATCCTAAAAAACCTCCTCCTACTTGTTATTTGACACTGGTACTATTATGGCCTGCTCACGCTATACTATGGGTAAGCATCTGGGCCTTGTAAAGAAAAACTTTGTCTAAAATTTACGTATTCCCTACTCCCTATATAGACCAGGAACACGTCAAGCAAATAAAAAAATACACTGGATGTCAGATATAAACTCAGAGAAATAATTGGTTTCATTTTTTTTTTTGTGTGTGAAAGGTTTCATTTTTAAACAACTATTAGCTTCTTGATTATCAGTAACGTAGTGAACAGTTTTATGACGCCTTGGTGTAATGGTTAATATTTTTTGGGGGGGTTGGGTACATTATCGTAACCAATAATATAAAACAAAATCTAAAATATTTATAGTCACATAATTATTATAATACAGCAGAAATCGAGTTTCAAGGTCCAGCTAGTTTTTCTCCTTGTAACCGGTAGCTCCTTATATACATTATAACGAGCATTCATTTTAACTGGTCAATCATCACAGTAACCGGCTCTGAGGGATGGCCAAAGATAGCCAATCAGAACACTTTTCAGTATTAACTGCTTATGGCTCACCTGAGATTCTGCCAATACCTGTTGTGCTTTAAAATTTATATATCAACAAATAAATAAATAAAATATAACGAGTAGGTTGACCTAAATATGTATATAATAGGATAAAGATAACGACCGGCAACCAAACATTTATTTTATAAATAAATGTATTTTATTCGTTATAGCTGATAACTCGTAATAACCATACTTGTTGAAAATGTATATTTCAACATGCAATCATATGCGTTCATGCCGGACCTAATGTTTTGCTTGTTGTAAGCAGTATCTCGTTAAAGTGATTCCTACTGTATATACTATATATTATATCAAAAGGATAAAGAGTGAGGGCTGTCATATAGTATGCGGTCTACCGGAAAATGCGTTCTACCGGCCGCTGTAGGATGCGGTCTACCTGCGGTTTTTACATACTAGGCTTAAGTTTATTTTTAATAGATACACTTTAATCTTTTTCTATCTTTTAGATATACTTTATCTTAATTGCATTATACACAGATAACAATACTTCAACATTTTGTAAAAGTATTGGCTCAATAGCTCAGTATGTCATTTATTGCGCGACACCACATTTTAACACCATATTTTATACACCCAATATGTTGGCAAAAGATTTTTATTCAATAATTAGTAGTGACGAATCAACCACAAATTTTTTAATTAGCAAAAATCTTGTGGCAAATAATGAAAATGCCGAATGTATTAAGTGTGGAAGTGCTATGAATTTATACCTACGTAAGGAGAGAGATAAGGAAAGGAGAGTTTTACGTTGTAAGAGAAAGGGATGTCAAACAACACAAACCTTAAGGTGAGAAAATTATTCTATTAATAATAATTATACTACTAACAATTATACTATTATATAGGAAAGATAATGCTTTTTGGACTTATATTGACAAGAATGGTCGTCTAAATAGTGGACTAAGCCTCAGTCAACAGTTAGAACTAGTGTTCTACTGGACTCAAGGTTTATCCAATAAAACAATCATGTCCTTAACTGGAAGATCGTCCAACACCGTATGTGACTGGATGAATTTGTGTCGGGATATACCACTAAAAATGTTCGAAAAACGTAATAAATTTGGAGGACCTGATGTCATCATACAAGTCGACGAATGTTTGTTAAGAGGATCCAGAAAAAATCATAAAGGTAATTTATATTTTATAATTGTATAATTGAATACATAATAAAATACAATTCTACATTGAATATTAATTATAAAATATTATAAATCATCATTATGTTGTTACAGGTAGATATCGACTTGCAGATTTGCCGAGTGAAAACATCGAAGACGAAAATGACGACCCTCTTGAAAATGGAAAAAGAAATTATGGTAGACGAATGGATGGTCCTTGGGTGTTTGGATTATGCGACGATAGTGAGGCACGATATTTTGTTGTCGAAAAGCGGGACAAGCAAACTTTGCATGACATTATTAAAAGAGAGGTTGTATTGGGTTCTATTATACACTCTGATGGATGGCCAGCGTATAATGGGATCGCCCAATATGGTTTTACGCATAACACAGTTAACCACAGCGAAAATTTTGTTGATCCACTAACACAAGCGCACACTCAGAGGATCGAAAGTTTATGGAGACCATTACGCTTAAAAGTAGTTAAAAATATGTGTGGTACAAGTCCTGATCTCCTTCCAAGGTAAAATTATTATAAGTTATGTTTAATAAATTTAATGTAATATTATATTATACATACTATTGCAGGTATCTCATGGAAACATGGTGGCGAGGAATAAATAAATCAGATTTATTTAATGCATTTTTAAGAGATATGGCGGAAGTTTTTGTATAACGTATTATATTATATTTATTTATATTCATTGACAACACTTTTTGACTAGACATTACTACTACAATAATTATACTATAATATTATGATATTTTTAATTTATTTATTCGCGGTAGACCGCATACTATATTCGTAAATCGCCGGTAGACCGCATACTATACTCGTAAATTCACCGGTAGACCGCATACTATATGACAGCCAAGAGTGAGTAGGTACTAAAATATATGGTGTGCATCATGGTTTATAAATGTTCACCACGCCACTGTTGACAATTTTATTTAATTACTTGAGACAACTGATACTTAAGACTTGTAACATTTGTTAGACTATTGAATAGTCACCAACCGAAGAACTGAGAATGCAATAATGGATCTGGTATTTAAGTGACATAACACCAGTTCCAGAATGTCAACTCCATTTAATTAAACAATGTACACATATAATTTATATTGCTGGTAAAATTGTACTATTTGTATTTATGATATTTTCACAATTTTAAAATGTTGCCACCAATGTAGTTGATTGATAATTGATACTAAATGGACAGCATTATTAATAAATTCATAATAAATATTTTTTATCAATGTTGAGAAACTACTAGTTGTAATATTATTATACAGTACTATGTGTTAAAACTATTCTATTTATTTTCAGATGTAAATTATCTTCACCGAATTAAGTTTTAAAGAATATTTAAGTTTCAAGGCCAAGAAAATGTATTGCAAGAATTTATATTCCAAATAGGGTTGTTAATTGTGAACAAAGTATTCTATTCCTTACATATTTTTTATTTAATTTTATGTTTACTAACCTTATGTGCAGACTATTTCTTAAGTTATGAAATAAATTATGACTATGATAATAACAATTAATTTTCATAACAACATAACTATCAATATAAAAAAAACTGTATTTTAAATAAATTATTTTGACAATATTGTGAATGTTAATTTATAATCTTCCATAATATATTATATTCCTTTATAAACTTATTTTTTTAAAATACAATTTTCACAAGAAATATTTTACTTTCTCTTTTATTTTTATTTTTGGATAAAAGAAAACTAATTGTTGACAGGATCAGCTAGATACAGATGAATTTTCCAGTGGTAGGAGTTTTGGACCATAAAGAAGAACATATGCACAATGCCAATCACCTGTCAAAAGTATATATTAAAATATTAGTGTTATAAATATTACTAAAATAGATATATTTCATTACCTCCCCCCGAAAGTTTAAGGATATCTTCAGTTGTAACTGGTGTTACTGTATCATCATCACATTTGATCCATCTTTCAGATGTTGGGGACTGTCGAACCCATCCAACATAATGGCCACTAGAGCTCGATCTACCTTTGTGTGTTAAGACGGCCTGAAGGGAGTAGTAACCAGAGTTATTTGAACCATAATCTGTACAAAAAAATTTAAAGCAACAGTTAATAAACAGGACATTGTCATAAATTATTATTTATTAGTTTATCTTAATACCGTCTTCAAACCAATATGGAGCTGTGGGTTTTTCTTCTTGTTTTGATTCTGCCAACTGTTTTGCGTTAGGCTTTACACCTTCATGAGCTAATTTGTCTTCTAACTCCTTTATTATAAGTAATGCAACAATAATATTAATTAAATTATGTTTTAGTTTTGTCCACAACTATCAATAACAATTAACATTAAGTGGTTAGGAGCAGCGATTAATATGGTTGTTACTACAGTACAAGCAATGTTGCACAATACTATAGCGATATACTAATAGACTTATAGAAATAGACGAAACATTTTTACCGAGGATTGGGAGGCGTGGTCATGCTAAATGGAGAGATAGCATGAGTTTTATCATAATAGTGAGAGAAATGGCATTGTTCTGAGGACAGCCAATACATAGCTTTAACTGCACCAGATCCGCATAACAAGCTCCATCTATTTGCACGTTAGTCATTTCACCACGACACATTATTATACCTTATTTTCTGTCTATTTTCTATAAGTCTATGGCTATACTACATTACAATTATCAATCTGCTTGAAGATAATAAAAATTCTAAATTTCACAATGTTTGAAAATATGTAACTAGAAACCGCACAGTTTTCACAACGCAACCATGCAAGATGATACATAACACTTGATAATTATTGTATGGTATTATGATGTGTATTCTTTGGTCATAATAATCACAACAGAGGAAATCTAGATTTCAACTACTCTGTGTAATAACCTGTAAGACTATTAAATATTTATATTTTATTATTACTATTTGATTTAAGTAAAAAAAAAGTAGCACATTTTATTTTTAAAGCTTGAAATTAGCATGCTACAATTTAAAAAAAGTGATAATAGCAAGCTACTTTTTATTATTAATTAAAGTGACTAAAGCATTAGGGCAACAAAAAAAAAAACAGAGTCCCGACCACTACTAAACATAATTCAAAGAGAAATACACTAGCTTTAGCTAGCTTTAGCTTTAGCTTTACCTTGAATTTGCTTCTAACTGGTACAAGTTTCTCTTGTAGTTCTGGAGTACACAATTCAAATGCATCAAATTCGATTGGAAATTTAATATCTTTTAAGATTTTTGCATTAATCTTATCTTTTTCTTTGTAAAAGAATCGCACAAATTGAATAGTCAGGTATGCTGGCAGTCTATTGATTTTTGACTAAATTGAAGTAAACTAATTTTAAGTACTGAAATATGCAATAGTAATTAATATTGCTAAAACTTACTGTCTTTGTAAAAACAGCATCTTTACCAAGGATAGGAGAGTGTTTGGTGATATGTTCTTGCATTCTCTATAACAGGGGTAAGTTATATTAAATTTGTATAATTTTGATTTTCATGTTAAGAAAAAATATAATTTTAATAATTTCCAAAATAATAATTACATTTTTCAAACCAGAATGCATATACTTGACATCTTGAGATATAAAACAACTTAATTGTAGAAATGACTCAGTAGTTTTGGTTACTTGTTCAGTATCACTTTCTACACATTTCCATTCAACATCAAACGAACCACCAAAAAATTGATCTATTGTAGATCTAAAAACATTAAAATTATTGTATTAAATAATGTTTATAGTTTTAATTTTTAAAAGAATAAATAACTTTACTTGTAATTAGTAGTGGGCTTATCGTTGTTTTTATTTTTCAACGCTGGTAACTTTTGTTGTAACATACGAATTAATTCTACCCAACATTCATTAGCATCCTAAATATTTGAAAAATTATATTAAATATGTATATTTTATTAATCTAGTTGAATAAAAAAATCAAATAATTGATTAAGAATCAAGATGATGCAACAGTATGAATATTTTATTTACCTGTTGCATATAATGTCCTTCTACTTTGTCTGCAAATCTAGGGAATGCTTGATGTAATACTTGTACAAGTACAAGAGGTGGTATTGTTTGATTAGATTCCATGGTTCGATATAAATCACTCATTGCAATTGTGATTTTCTCAGCCGGTTCAAAATTAGATAGAGTTGAAGATGCTGAAATAGATTAGGTACATGTGTAAAAATAAATATAAGAACATTTTTCCATATACTTACATGCTGCATTGAAATCGGTCAGGGCTTGTCGTAATTCAGGTACAATCTTAAGGCACTGAACAGTAGCATTCAAATAACAAGTGTTGCCCAAATTGGTAAGACCCGCAGGCATATTGGTCTAAAGGTGAATTAAGTTAAACAGTCTTAGTACCTACAATATTATATTGCAACATTTCACATTTCAAAGAGTAATGACTTACGACTGTAGCCAATTGTGTCTCGGTCATGTCTTCAACAAACACTGGCTTAACAGTGGGTTCTATGGGTACGTCCTCGTCCTTGCTGCCCATCATCAGTATATTCTGGCCTTCAGTTATCTGAATGTTGCCCCATACATCGTCTTTGAGGGTGCCACCCTTCATCATTACTTTCTGGCGGTTGGGATTGACACCAGTTAGGGCGAACAGTTGAGCCTTGAAAACAAGTGGCGGTTCGTCCGTGTTTATCTCCACGTCTGGGTATACTTCTTTTCCCCATTTTACCTTCACTGAACCCGAAAAAATATATATTTCATTAAACAACATGAACTTTAGACCCGATGAGTCGTTTCACTCACCTGTGAATATAGGCATATCGCTCGGCGAGAAGTCCCTGTTGTTGTGTTTACGGAGTTAATTATCACCGTCGGAGTTCGGCAATCGTACTACGTTCTCATGAAGCACAACGCGAACGGTTCACTTTGTCAACTATTGTAAATTGGCGAAGTTTACTACCGAACGTGACGACGTTCGAAACTTTGGGTATTAATTTTAGAAATGTGAGCAGAAGTACAGCAGAACTTCAAAATGTGCTCGTCACCCGTCGACCGACACAACAAATCTATTGTTGATAACGGCCGAACGAAATTATCGCTGGTCACTATTGCACAGTGCGGCCACTACTGGCTTTCGGAATATCTTATACCGGCCGATGTTCCCTTCCAAAGAACTATAAACTAATGGACTGCGCCTCCCTCACCACCCAGCAATCACTGAGTGGTGCCAATATAGAGTGAGTGAGAAAGAACATATTGGGGGAATCTTGGTGGAATCATATATGAGAAAAAACATAATGGGGGAAATCATAGACGTATGAAACTAATACTGTATATCGTACCTGTGACCTCTCTAAGCGCTGTCCATTAGTTTATAGGTCTATCGTCTATGTTCCCTTCCAACTACAATATTATAATTTATACCTAATTAGTAATTTTAATGTATAATATACAAATTACGGTTTAAGATAGAACTATCAAAATAGTACAAATTAAATTTAAATTAGGTAATGTATTGTTATTGTATTACTGTATAAATTTAATAAAAATCGGTTTTATACAGTTATATAAATAGGCATAAATATTAATTTTTTCGAGAGCGTTTATTTTTCTAAAGACAATTATTATTATTGATATATACCTATAATATTATAAAGAGGATATTTTCTGGTATTACGATTTGTATTATAATATGCTCTACCCGATTTATACTTTTAGGTGATCTTCGTATATATAACATTTTAGTATTTTACGTCTTTCAATAAATTTAATTATACTTTAATTTAATTATAAAAAAAAGGTTGTCTACGAATATTTTACATTTAATACAATGATCGGTCATCGGACGACGTATTACCAATTACCATTATACGTATTATTATAATAATGTTATGTTATTATTTAAATAATATTGTTAGTGTTTAATAATAATTATGTGGTTAATACAGCTTTTTATTTTTCTCAAAATTCATAAGTTACCTATAGAAGAGAAACTTCGCTCACAAGAGTAGCATTGACCTGATGTTAGATATTGCTAATGCTATTTAAATAATATTTGTGCAAATTTGGAATTATAAAAACAAATAATAACATTTCGTAAAAAGTTTCAATTTTGGGAGGGCTAAGCTCTTCTAAAAGTCCAATCACCCCCCCCCCCCACCCAATGATTGTTTATGGTTTTTCATTTGATTGATCATACATTTTTTAACAACACTTTTCCTGTCTTATACTATGTATAGTAGGTACTAGGTACCTATATAATATAGACTATATTTGTAGACTGTAGTGTACTCGTGTATAATGTTGTATACTTGTATCTATTACGGGGTAAGTGGTAACTGGTAGATATATTATTATGTGCTAGGAACACGGACGACTTAGCGGCGCCGGACCATCGGAAACTTTAGGGTCTGGCTGCGCGTAGCTACAACACAAGGGACAACCGTGCGTTGCGCTGCGGTTAGCTAACCCTCGACTTTTAACAGCGTGGTAATCCCACATCTGTCGGGTCGCTTGTCCAAGTCTCCGAGGTCACCGCCGATTCCGCAGCACCAAATCTCGATTAAAAGCTGAACGGACTAAGGCGTCGGTTGCGACGCACAAAGACGCCGGTTCGATACCTAGGCCGTGGGGGGCAATTTTCTTCTGGCAAGTCGCGGTGTCCGGAGAACAAGTGCCACCATCCCGCACCCGGACATGGCAGATACCTACGGGTGCCCAAATCAAAAATATTGCCAAAAAACAAAACACAAGTGTTCCTCCCCTACCAACAAAAACCTACAAACAAAAACAAAAAAATATCTAATGGTCTAAGTTGCCGGGCTCAAGATAAATAAAAAAAAAAATCTCGGTTCACTCCCGCTCCGTGTCTATTGGTCTCCGCCGTCGGTCGTCAAAGTCGTCACCGTCAACGCTCACTAGCCGTCGCTCGTCTCTGTCAAGTGTCAACCATCACTCCCACGGCAAATTTCGGTCAGGCCTCGTGGGCAAGGTTAGGTCGATGAGGTAACATTTCGTCATGCCCGTGAGCCGTGACACTCGTCAGCCCACGGGACAGGTCGCGAGAACATTATGTTTAGGTGACCACTGACTAGTGGCCAAACAATATCAGCAACCATTGCCATCTCGTATAGTCGTATCCTCCCCTCGACCCCTCCTGGTTAATTGTGTCTCCTGTTTTTTTGCTTTATTTACTTTTTAAGTTGTTTGTTTATTATAATCAATAGCTATAATAGCTGGTAATATTGAAAAAAAAATTTTCTATTTTTCTAAGTCGTCCCTGAAGCAAACTCCGATTGGTCGTTGGTACTTGGTGTGTCTTATAATAAATTGACCTATTTGACTTCCATGGCTACACATTTCCGGATGACAACGACAGCAAAATCTGTCACGGAAGTAGTTCTTAGTTTAGCCACTAGATCGCCATGTCATATAAGACTTTATTTAATTTAATCGGATCTAGGCATAAGTTGTATAGCTCTTTGCGGCACAGTGGGACATAATATTATAATGACCCACCTTACAACTATGATTTAAGACGTCGTTTATTAATTATAATCATATATATAATACACCAAAATATAACAGATCATATAAAAAATAAATCACGTTGACAGCACATTTCAAGAACACACAACATTACAACAACATGCACCACAAGCAATCAGCATTTAAAAAAAAACACCCTATAAAGAATATAATTGAAACTACAGAGACGAATATTAACGATTACAAAAGAACCGAGTCCTCTTATATCCGCCCTCTTCTATCTACAATGTTATCTGAAAAAATAACTACTTCCCCCAAAACACATTTATATTTCATTTTATTTACTTATTAATTTGTTTTATATGTTTAAAGACAGAACACTGAACTCCCCCTTCTCCAGAAATTAAATTCCATATTTCCTGATCGAAAGATTAATTGATATGAATTATAATTTATATTTTTTTTACCATAGATGGTGCAAATTACAAACGTATTTCAAAAATATTGGTGCAAATATCACATGTAGGCATCATAATGTTCTAAACATTGTAGGTTGTAATAGTTACGTATTAAATAAATCACTGCGCCATGGCATCCAAACACATTAATATTTATCAAATTAAAATTTATGGAAATTATACACCTGACCAACAAAAATTGGAATATATGTAATATTTATCAAAATATTTTGATTTATTTTGAACTGTTTATGGACATTTTCATTTTCGTTTTTTTTCTAAAGATATCAATAAAATTTTATTTGTTGTTTAAAAAAGGTTGAAAATTTAATAGAAGGCTCCTAGTATATTGTTTCAAAGGCAGATGAAAAATATTAAAAATCCTTAGTCACAGTTTTTTTTTATAAGCATATAAAGTTCAAAAATTGACAAAATATGAAAAAATCACGAAAATTAGCAAATTATTTTGAGTAAAGAATTGTAAATCACGTTACCCTTCAATACCAGCAGTGGCGTACTTAGGAATTTTCCTAGGGGGGGATGAAATATATAATAATATAGGTACACCCAGAAATACGTTTGTTGAGGTTATCGTGGATCAAGGCGAAATAAGAATTAACACAAATGGTATATTACCTAATAGCATTTATTATAAATTCATACTAACTCCAATCCCATGTTTAATACGATAAACAAACAAAATAGTTATAATACAAAATCCCGTTTTCATCAGTTCATCGATAACCTCATTTGGCATGATTATTTTACTGACCCATGACATGCCAATAAAGCCAACACATTAAGGGTATAACAATAGTTAAACTAATTTACTAATGTTAAACCGCGGAATTCGACCGGTAAAATCAGTGGGTTAGGCGTAACCGAGGTTTAAACTATGATTGTAAAACGGGCCCTAAGTCGGTTCTAATAAACAAAGTATATAGGTAATAATTACTACTTAATTTATAGTTATTATTCAATATTATATAGGAAAATTGATAAAATATTTACTTCTGTCATATTGTTTATTAGGTAAGACTTAATACATAATAAAACTTGAAAAACATCGTTAAGGTGTAGCAGCTGATACAGGCAAAGTACAAAATATTTTCAAGAGTTCATAAATATTTGGATAAAATTCTTTATCACAAACATCTAAAGCATGTACCTAATCCAGAGGTGAATACAATTTTTTCAGTCACTAACTACACTTCAGTCACTAAAAATAAAACCACGCCCTATGGTAAATCTACAGTCTTCATGGTAATTTTGTTTTATTTACCGACTATTCATCGGATTTGTTATAAACACTCATGCATAAAAAATAGTTCGCAGAAAATTAAAAAATACAGTACACCATACTACCATATATATATATGGTGGGTATATTATATTTTTGTTGTCCAATATTCACATATGGTATGCCGTGAAAGACTAGTGGCGTATATTATATCAGAATAGTAAAATTACCACGACTAGAAAATTTAGAAAACAGACATACTTAAAAGTAATATCACATTGAGAAATACAGAAAATAAGAAAACATAACTTTACAAAAAAAAAAGTCAAATGGTTGGGTATATCCCCCTTAAATACACCACTGAAGATCAGTATAATAGGCAGTGGCATACCTAATTAGCTTTTATTTAGTATTTCAAAGTAAATAGATACATCAAAAATATTTATATTGAAAATAATACATTATTTGTGATGTTATACAATTGTTGTATCAAGTAGGTAGTAAGGACTAACGTTAATTATTTAATGCATAACTAAACATAAATTGAAATTATTAAATAAAATCTAATTCTCACACGGTCATTTTTGTGAATCCGCTAATAATATCATTCACGTGTATAGTGTATCTATATAA